CCCCCCCCCCCCTGCTGGCTGCTGCTGCTTTTCCTGGGGGGGGGGGAGCGGGGGCGGGGGAAGTTTTGGAGCTGCTCCTTCCTGCTACACTTGGGCTGTGCCAAGGCTAGACTTTGAAGTTTCCCCACCCTTGGACAACAAGGAAAGCAGCAGTTGTGAAATGAGGAAGGGCAGGGTTGGGGGCATGCCTCTGAGCACAGGAAGGAAGGAGGGATTTTTAGCTGTTTTCGGGGTCCTTAAAAGTCCCTAGAAGCTCCCATGAGGTCTCTGCACTCTGGTCGGTTCGGCAGGGGTGGGAAGTGCACCAACCTCTGCAGCATGGCTCCCTGTTCCCACACCCCCGCTTTACCAAACCCTGGATCCACCCTCGGGTGGGAGGATAAGCAACTGCCTGTGGAACTGGTATTTGTGACACGTTGATTTCCCTATAATGTGTTATAGGCATAAGTCAGAAATACCAAATATAGAGGCACAGTACACCACTTCTGCAGTATAGTCAGTCTCCAAGTACCTAAGGCTTAAATATTGAAATCTTCCCACTTAATAGTATATTTCACTCTGCCCTCTCCTCTGCAAGAACGAATTCTGGAAATGTTAATGATGATCTTTATTACTGGAAGCACAGCATTAAGCACTAAAGCATGCATATATATTATATTATATTTATGAAACAATTTGACATAGGTGAGGAAAAGGGAAAACAAAACAAAACATTCAGGTAACACAGAAAAGTTTTGTTATATTAAAACCAGTATCACAGGATACTGAATAAAAAACTTATGTTAAAATCAATTTCTAAAGGATAACCAGTAAATAACACAAACATTTAAAACAATTGTTCAGATATGTAAACAATTGGAAGCACATGAATAATATTAAGAAATCTTAGAAGTTTAGGGTTCAAGGCTTATAAAAGGGTGGGAAAATATTTCACATTTCTACACTCTACAATAAAAAGGAATACTGTAAAGAGGTTACAAATATAGTGTAAAAATTTTAAATTCCATAGTAGTATTTGTACTCCTGAGCGGTTCATGTGACAAGTGGGGTTCAGCTAAATAGGAATACAAAATTTCTCCAAGTTAAGGAAAAAAGATTGGTGAGGCAGTGCTCACCTCAAAAACGTCTTGGGCTCTTTGGGTGGTATTGGCTGTGGAAGTGGTTTGCTGCTGTTGAACTCAATATCGTGGATGGGTGAATTAGGAATGGGGTCCAGGCGGTTAGGATGTCCATTGCCCACTCCGCTAGATTCCAGAGCACTTAGATTGGGAACACTCACAAACCTGTTTGTTGACTTATCATTCTTCTTCTTTTGCTGCATTAAAAATAACAAATGTAAGCAGGCTCCTTGCACCAGAACAGAGGAGGAGATTGGAAGATTAGATAGATTTCCATTTTGTTATGGCTTCAGAGTAGGGAGCAGGTTTGGAAAGGAAGTGGAGTAATTTCTATAATTACACATTTACTGTATCCTTTGAATAGACCCCTAAAGCATAAATTCTCAGAAAAAAATAAAATACCTCAGCAAATCTGAAAAACTGTTTAGGCCTAGCTTGGCAATAAATTACTCTGAAAGATACTGGCAATATTACTCTGAAAGATATACAACAGAATGTGGTATTGAAGTGATAGAAGGGAGGTAGCTAGTTCTCTACAAAATTATATTTCAGTCTGTTAAACCTTTCATTTTCACTTAAATCTCTGTTCTCTGGAGAAAAAAGCCCAGCATTCCATCTCTAAGAAACAAAATACCCACTAGATGGCAGAACTGAACCTAATATTTCAGTTTGAAGCACCAGTAACTTACTGCCATGTAAAAATGAATGATTATTTATGAATTATTTTCCATGGCAAGAGTTGCTTTATGTCCCTCTCTCTCATATTTTTACAACTTACAAACTTAAAGACAATTCATGTATGAAAAGTTACTATCTAAAAATGGTCTGTTGAGGGAATTTCATATTTAATCTTTTTCAATAACTTCCGGCTCAAGTTCTTTTTGTTTACAAGGTTTTATTAAAAAATATGCTTCACTTGATTTCAAAGTGAAGCTGAAGTCATTTCTTCTCATGAACTGTGTGTCATACATATTTAGCGATCATAAATAACAAACACATGACCTGACCTCAAGGAGTAAGGGAAAAACAAAACAAAACAAAGCAATTTGTTCTTATTTGTAAACCATACATCTTTGTCATGTCATTTTTACAGATTTTTCTGTGTAGAACTGCATTTGACAGAATAGAACTGATGAGTTCATGTCATGCATGAACAAGAGATATTGAATGAGTGCTATTTTAGCCCCCTGGGGTGTTTGTATATGTTATCAGGTTTCTCTAAAGATATTCCCTAGGTTTATTTTATTCTCGCAACGCACCATGATGAATGACGTTACATTTACATTATGTAATGCATTTAAGACTCATAATGGGTTACTATGCTATTACTAGTAAAAGACGCTAGGGGGCACCTCATAACAATTTTGTCCTCTTGACCTCTTAATACTAAATTACATCAGGGGGCAGTTTAAGAATGTATATGGTCAATGTATATGGTCACTGGTTTATTTTTTTGTGTGGCTTTTGGTTACACTTCTCCCCAAAATTTCTTCTGTTAACCCAGCTATTTGTTGTTCGGTGCTCTTTCCTAGTGATTTCCCTGACAAACCTCCATGGTTTTCCCTTCCCATCACTGAGCAGACTCTTGAGGTTTCCAGTGGAGCCCCTAATTCGAAGACCGAAATGGTGAACCAGTTTTCTATGCTTGCAGCCATCACCCTGGCAGCCGGCTGCATGTTAGGGGGACCTCAGACCAGGGTCAGGCACAAACATGGGGTGCTGTTTTGGGGAAATGTGAAAGGCTGCCTTGGCCAGCCCTCACCTCCAGCCTTGAGTGGAGCCCAGGTGGCCAGACTAAGTCATATGGGGGGGTGGACTTGGGATGAGACACGTTTGTTTTTTTTCAGTTTGGAGTTTCATAAACAGTCTCTCCTGCAGGGACCACTAATCAACCACTAATCAACCGTTCACCCAGCTATTCATTGTCTGGTGCTCTCTCCTGGTGCTCTCCCTGACAAACCTGCATGGTATATACTTTTCCCCCTCCCACCACTGAGGGGACCCCTGGGGTTTCCAGAGCCCCTAATTCGAAGCCCAAAAGGATAAACTGTCTTTGTATGCTTGCAGCCATCTCCCTGGCAGCCAGCTGCATGTTAGGGAGAACTCAGACCGGGGCAGGCACAAATGTGGGGTGCTGTTTTGGGGAAACATGAAAGGCTGCCTATTTGCATGGTTAATTTCGGGGAACACCAGTAAGGGGTTTTTCCTTTTACTAAACCTGTTTTTCCATGCGGCCTCAGTCATCATTTAAAAAAACAACTTCAAGTGTGTTTGCAATTCTGTCTCAGGCCACACAATTGGAGACAATACTAATACAGCTTATCTCTTCTTCAGCAGCCACTGATGGCCAGATTACCCATACCTCCCTTCCCCTCCCCCAGTGTATCCTATTTGCATGTCAATTTTGGTTTCCTGCATCTCCGGTTACTACGATCCAGGTGTGCCTAGCGTTTGTAGGAGCACCTCACATTACAATATTGACCCCCTTTTTTATATTTCTTTCTTTATATTTTACACCCTTGAGCTTTCACATTTTGGCTGCCTAGAGAGACCGTCCAGACCTATTTTTTTTTTCTCAGTGCCCGCAGTCATCTCCCCACTCCCTTCTTCTGCTCCGTGGTTTTCTGTTAAGAGTCCTTCCTTCTTCAGGTGCCTGCCTGACTCACCACTTAAAACCAACAAACCCAACACCCATCCCCCATGTCCCGTAACCACAGCACCCCCTCCCTCCTGCAGGGAGGATGTCCTCTTCCCTTCCTATGCCTCCCCCGCCCCCATGAAACTAGTCTTGCGTCAACCCCCAGAGCCCATTAACAACAAAGGTATCCAAAACATTTTCTCAGAAAGACTTTATTCAATTACAAACTAATATGAAATATGAAATGAAATAAAAAAAATCCAATTAGACATTCACATTCCCCTGCCTTAGCAGTCATAATGTGTGCTGCCAGGCAATTTCTGATTGTGGCAAGGCACTGTTTGTGCCTGCCACTTTAAGGGCCTGAACCCAGTAGCCAGCAGGTGCCTGATTAGGGCAGCCATTTTGGATTCAGAGCTGCCCATATAAACAGGGCATTTTGCTGCAGGAAGGGTAGGTAGCAAAATCACCTGGCTGCAAGGTTGCTGGAACATCCTGCAGGTAAGGGAAGAGCTGTAGGGTATGGATTGGAGGCTCCTGGTCTTGGGCATGACCTAAAACTGCACCCTGCAGGGAGTGGGTGGTCTGGTGAGGCTCTCAGTGGTGCAGGAGCTCTCAGGAAATGCCAGGCTAGTTACCATCCCGGTGAAAGGTGGGTCAGGGTGCCTTAACCCCAGCTCCCACCTTTGGGTGGGTCAGATGACAACAGAGGTACAGGGGGCTAGGCACGGCTATGGCCACCTGAGCCCACCCAAGGAGGAAAGCCCCGAGTAGAGGGGGCATGTGCTTAGACCTGGTTGGGTAATTGGCTGGTCACTACCCCAGTGAGGGTTGCAGAAGAGGCCCAACAGATGGTACGTCTGCCACCCAAGGAATGGACTAGCTAATCCTGACAAAAGCGTGCCCTTTCCAAGAAGGAACAAGGTGGCATAAGCTGTCAACGTGAGAAAGAGACCCTGTGAGAGAGGGTGGAGTTAGTGAGGCCTGAGTGAGAGGCAGGTGGTATGACTCTGTGTGTGACTGAGGCCTGGTGGCATAGCCTAAGCATGCTCCAGCTGTAGGCTAGGGGCACAGTAACATCTGGATGCCATCTGTGAGGCTTGGCCTGTGATGTAGGGGAGGTACAGAGCTGTGGACACCCCCAAATATCAGGGTATAGTAATGGGCAGCCTCCCACTTTATTTATCAAATTATTATTCTAACAAGGTGTGGCAGGTGAGACAGGTGGGCAACATGCCCAAAGGCAGGTGGGGGGCTAGCTATGGCTAGTGGGGATACCCACCTTGCCACACTGATCACAGTTTCTCTTCCACTGTTTGCCTGAATGTCTAACCTCCCCTCCCCCTTGCCTTGCTGATCTCTGTGTACATCTTGCAGCTTCTCTTGCTTCCCTTAAGTCTTGGGCTCAAGACTCACTGAAAACCTCCCCCCTTGACTCACAGATAGTATGTAGCACACAGGCTGCCACTATGAAACAGGTGATGTTCTCCGGGTCTGCCTCCAGCCTGTAGTTGAGTGACCTCCAATGGGCTTCCAAGCACCCAAAGGCACATCCTACACTCATGCAGCATTTGCTTAGTTGGTAGTTGAATGTCTGTTTCTGTGGGTCAGTCACTTGCCCCCCATAGGGCTTCATAAGCCAGGGCAGGAGTGGGTAAGCCACATCCTCAATTATGAGGGGTGGCACTGAAACACTCCACATGACAACCTCCTCCATTCCTGGGGCATATCAACCCTTCTCCATCATCCCAGGCAGCAGTCAATTTTGAAAGACACATGCATCATGGGTGCTTTCTGCCCATCCTGTGTAAATGTTTATAAATCTTCCTTGGTGATCCACTACAGCTTGGAGAATGACTGAAGGAAATCCTTTCCTGTTGATGAATGATTAGTTGTTCTGGGATGGTTTTAGGCTGGGAATGTGCATGCTGTCCAGTGCTCTCACATAGTTCAGGAAGCCCATCACCTTGAATCCTTCTACCACCTCCCTGGGGTTACTCAGGCAGATGAACTTGTTTTCTGCCAGTTCCTGAAGCAGCTGGCAGACTATTTGGTGAGGTGCAGAGAGCCTCCCTGCTGAACTGATTTGCCATGTGGTACAGGCTTGTTGGAGTGGCCAATTTCATCATGGCCATGGCAACACACTTTTCTGGGGTGATGGGCTTCCATATGACAGTTGCCTAGTGCTCAATGTGCAGTGACAGAACACTAACAATGTGGAAGGTGTCCCTACTCATTCTTAATGTCTCTAGCCACTGATCATCATTTCAGGTAGACATAACAATGCGTTTCCACCAGTCTGAGCTGCTTTTGTGTGCTCATATCTGGTGATCCTTGCCCTTAAGGTATGGCCAGCAAGCCACTATAGTCTTATGAACTGGGACAGGGGGCAAACTCCAAGGCCCGGTCACAGTACCAGCCTACCTTCCTGTCTTGGGCAGGATGCCCAGTCTCATCTGCCACACCTTTGCTGTTACAAAAATGGTTGTAATAAGTGGGAGGCTGCCCATTTAAGTACCCCAATGTCAAGGGGCTTGCACACAACTCCACCCTTTCCTT